CGACCAGCGACGGCGGCGGCGGCGGCTCCCCCGGCGACGGCAGGAGCGACGAGAACCCGGTGTCCCACTCCATCGAGTGCTACGCGTGCACGCAGGTAGGCGTCCCCGTGTTCCACTCCACCAGCTGCGACCGGGTCCACCAGCAGCCCGAGTGGGAGGCCTCCGCCGGCTCCTCCCTCGTCCCCATCCAGGCCAGGCCCGGGCCGAAGAAGGGGCCCGGCAGCCGGGGGGCTCAGCACGGGCCGTTCGGGCGGGTGCTGGACCCGCGGAGCAAGCGGGTGCAGCGGTGGAACCGGGGGTTCCTGATGGCCCGGGGGATGGCGCTGGCCGTGGACCCGCTCTTCTTCTACGCGCTGTCGATCGGGCGGGGCGGGTCGCCCTGCCTCTACATGGACGGCGGGCTGGCGGCGATCGTGACGGTGCTGCGGACGTGCGTGGACGCGGTGCACCTGTTCCACCTGTGGCTCCAGTTCCGGCTGGCCTACGTGTCGAGGGAGTCGCTGGTGGTCGGGTGCGGGAAGCTCGTGTGGGACGCGCGCGCCGTCGCCTCCCACTACGTCGGGTCCCTCAGGGGCTTCTGGTTCGACGTCTTCGTCATCCTCCCGGTTCCCCAGGTCCGTCCATCCTCCCCCCCTCTCTCCTTCCCATCTAAATTCCTGAGCTCGAGAACCCATCTCACTCCCCCACTTCTTTCTTCCTTGAGCTGTCACTTCTTGACAGTGGAGAGCTTGCGGTTGTCCTTGATGTAGAATTCCGGTTACCGCACCGTAACAATCAGAGAGAGTTCAACACGTACCACGTATTTTCCGAGGTAATAATTGGGAAAGAAAAAAGCGCAAATGAGTTGGCGTGTCGCGTTTGGAACGGAGGAAGAAGATAAAAATGCATAACTTGACATCACGATGTGAAAGTCTCTGCGTCTGTGTGGTCCGGTCTGAACGAAAGACTGACGAGAGTGACGACCGTCTGAGGTGGGGCGACGACGGGTCCAGCACCGCCAACATGTTAACCGTCTCGCTCTTTTAACGCACGTTCATCACGCCCGCAGCCAACTTTTCCCCTTCCTGTTTTTTCACCCCGAGATCCATCCCCGCTTGGACGACGACGTCGTTTTGGCCCCGCTACTGACGTCTGTCTTCGCTTCTTTCGCCCCTTGTGCAGGCTGTGTTCTGGCTAGTGGTGCCGAAACTGATCCGAGAAGAGAAGATCAAGCTGATCATGACCATACTCCTCCTCATCTTTCTGTTCCAGTTCCTTCCCAAGGTCTACCACAGCATCTGCTTGATGAGGAGAATGCAGAAGGTCACGGGTTACATCTTCGGCACCATCTGGTGGGGCTTCGGCCTCAACCTCATCGCCTACTTCATCGCTTCTCATGTAAGTTCCATTCACCATCTTGGCTCGGAATGCTGGCGAAGCGGGTGTAAGCTATACTAGTTTCGAGCTCATGCTTTGCACCCCTCATCGCGCAAAGTATCTCTATCAAAAAGAAAAAATTCTAGATAAACTGCATTCTTTTGCATCGAATAACCAGGTTGTATTCTTGTCTTGCTATTCTGCAACAGTTACCTACCTTATCTTCTAGCATGTCCATTTCCTAAGAAAAACTTTCTAGCATTCAATTGCGTCAGCGAACGAATCTTGATTTGCCCCTGTACTAAAGCAGATTCAAGAAATCCTCTAATTTTCGCGATAAGAAAGGACCTACGGAGCAGCTCTAGTCTAGAGTTGATTGTCACACACCGGGAAGACCGGGTGGTCTTAACATCATAGAATACTAAAAGGCCATCCTCCTAATTGCTAGACCAACCCGCTGTATACGCAGCAGCTAATTCATGAAGACAGGGCAAACAGATGAATCAAGAAATGAAGTTTAGTTTGCTAATGATTGTTTATTCCTGTATGTTCAATGGTCTATTCTAATTGTTTCTGAACAGAAAACAAAGAACTTACTCTGATTGGTTATTAACAAATCTCCTTACCAAATGTGGATCCATTTTAGGAAGATATATAACAAACAGCCTGCTCGCAGGTAGCTGGTGGGTGCTGGTACGTCCTAGCAATACAACGTGTGGCTTCGTGTCTCCGACAGCAGTGTGAGAAAAACATTCACTGTGATTTCTCTCTGTCCTGCGCCGACGAGGTCTGCTACGAACTTTTGTTACCTGCTGGCATGATAGGGAACCCATGTGGCGGAAACAGGACAGCTATGGCCAGAAAGCCACCGTGCTTAGATGGGAACGGGCCATTTCACTACGGGATCTACCAGTGGGCTCTTCCGGTCATTTCTAGTGACTCCGTAGTTGTGAAGATCCTTTATCCCATATTTTGGGGTTTGATGACCCTCAGGTGAATTCTCAGTTGAAGTAACTTTATATGGTTTGCACTTGCAGAAGATATGCATTACTAGTTTGAACTCGCTTTCTGCTTGTCTGATCTGATACTGCAATAAAATCACGCATCTTTGCTTACAAATGCTTCTATTATCTAGATTCGCAATTTATCTTTCGACCTTTGGTAATTGAGACTTAAAGTTTGCGGAAGTATTTCGAGGATGAATGTCTAAACGGTTGTTGTAATTGCAGCACTTTTGGTAATGATCTGGAGCCTACGAGCCACTGGATGGAGGTGGTATTCAGTATATGCATCGTCCTTAGTGGCCTACTTCTGTTCACCCTTTTAATTGGAAATATCCAGGTATGATCAATTAGAGACATTACTTCTTAGCCCATCCTCACATTACGAAGTCAGAATCCAAAATGAGAGCTTAATCATTGCTTGAAAGGTGTTTCTGCACGCTGTCATGGCAAAGAAGAGAAAAATGCAGCTGAGGTGCCGCGACATGGAATGGTGGATGAGGCGGAGGCAGTTACCCTCCCATCTGAGGCAAAGGGTGCGCCATTACGAGCACCACAGATGGGCAACCATGGGAGGGGAAGACGAGATGGAACTGATAAAAGAGTTGCCCGAGGGGCTACGGAGGGACATTAAGCGCCATCTTTGCTTGGACCTCATCAAGAAGGTAACCCGATCTGCAGTGGCTTTGCTTTTTACAGATAAAAGAACTGAATATGCCTTTTGCTCTTCGAACTGTTGTTATTTACACTGCTTCTTCCTACATTGTGTGGGAATACTCTATATCCGGACCGTTCTAATGAACTCATCTCCAGCTTGTGATTATGCATTCAGGTGCCGCTTTTTCACAACTTAGATGATCTTATTCTAGACAATATCTGCGACCGGGTGAAGCCCCTCGTCTTCTCTAAAGATGAGAAGGTACCACTTCCCTACAGTTGCAGAGTTTCCTTTCATTATTTGCCACCAAATGAATTCAGGATGACTAAAGATTCTCTTCTGATCTGCCAGATCATTAGGGAAGGCGACCCCGTGCAGAGGATTGTCTTTCTCGTGCGCGGACACATCAAACGCATCCAAGGCCTGAGCAAAGGAATGGTGGCGACGAGCTTGCTCGAGCCTGGTGGCTTCTTGGGCGACGAACTCTTGTCCTGGTGCCTGCGGCGCCCATTTATAGACCGACTTCCAGCCTCATCTGCAACATTCCTGTGTATGGACTCTATAGAAGCATTTAGCCTGGATGCCAACCATCTCCTGTACATTACCGACCACTTCCGCTACAAGTTTTTAAACGAGAGGCTCAGATGGAGAGCAAGGTACTACTCATCCAACTGGCGCACCTGGGCCGCGGTGAATATTCAATTCGCTTGGCGCCGTCGCAGGATGAGGACCCAGGGTCCGGTGAGTCCGGTGTCCGAAGTTGGCGGAAGTGAGCGGCGCAACCTCTTGCAGTATGCTGCAATATTCATGTCGCTGAGGCCACACGATCACCTTGAATAACGAGATCACTTGGTTTCTTTCTTTCCTTTAATCATCGGACAAATCGGGACGTGCTAAATTCTTGTTCATCGGAGGCACTCTGACAGTCCCTAGTGGAGCTGATCGCATCGAACAATTTTTTCAATGATTGAATAAGATATATCTTCTCTTGATTAATTTGAGCATTGGTTGATGATTAGATGAATTTCCTTCCCTAGAAAATCAATTCCTTCAAGAAATTCATTCTAGAGAATTGAAAACAAGAACACAGATACTGCTGATCAATGTGGAATGACTGTTTGATTTTTTTAGCCGGTATTTTACAACCTTCAAACTTTCTTGTCAGCACTTTCTCTCCTATTGAATTTAGACCTATGCCACCCTTCCTACTTGAGAAAGGGGAGGTGGGGAGTTAGATTCTCCACTTTCTCGAAGAGGTCAGGAGTGAGGACAAATGTGAATTTCGATGCAGAACAAAAATCTGAGAGTTGGAGCAGGACAGATTAGAAAAAAAAACTTAGACCTGATCAATGGACGGACCTAAACTCGTTGAATCGGATCAAATGGACTATCAAATTCTTATCCAACTCGGAATTAAGGAAAAATTAACACTTCCTTATAAAGACGATCAAGCATGGATGGGGCCAGCCACTTGGGCCGGACCGAAGACGAAAATAATCTATCCGGACCCGCTCATTCACGACTCGAGCCTCACGGGCCGGGGCAGACCAGGTCGGCCGCCAGGCACACGGTCAGGTCTCTCCCTCCGGCTGCAGAATATCCAAAACCTTCCCTTTCTCCCCCACCCACCGCAGGTCCACGAGCCCCGTCGGGGGCGTAAGCAAGCAGAAACGGCGCCGTTTCCTGGCCAGGCAAATCATCCATTTCCGCGTCATCGTCGACTTTGGTTTTCGTCCATCCCAAGTCGGCTGCATTCTTCCTCCTTCCTTCCGAGCGACAAAAGCACGGAAGAGACGAGACCCTCCCCCCGCCCCACCATCCATCCCATTTTCTCGAGAAAATCCGTGGGAAAATCATGAGCTCCTCCAGCTAGCTCCCCCAGAAACCTCATCCATCTCCATCGCTCGCGCCCCCCCAAAAAAAAAGGAAACTTTTTTCCTTCGTTTTCTCTTTCCAATTCGAGTACCTCCCGATTCACCCCCCTACTGAATTTTCCCCAGCTTACCGCTTTCGTGCGAAACCCTCTGAATCGGAAGCGGGGTAAAAGCTCCTTCCTTTCTCCGATCATGGCCACTCCGAAGCCCCAGCGATCGCCCCAGGAGATCGAGGACGTCATCCTGCGCAAGATTTTCCTCGTCACTCTGTCCGGCTCCCCCGAGGCCGACCCTCGGATCGTGTACCTGGAGCTCACCGCCGCGGAGGTCCTCAGCGAGGGCAGGGAGCTGAGGCTCGCCCGCGATTTGATGGAGCGGGTCCTCATCGATCGCCTCTCGGGCGGCTTCCCCAACGCGGAGCCCCCCTTCCAGTACCTGATCGGGTGCTACGGTCGCGCGTGCGACGAGGGCAAGAAGATCGGCTCGATGAAGGACAAGAATGTGAAGTCGGAGATGGAGGATGTGGTGAAGCAGGCTAAGAAGCTGGCGGTGTCGTACTGTAGGATCCACTTAGGGAATCCTGAGATGTTCGGCGGTGCGAATTCGGACGCCGGCGCGAGCAAATCGAATGTCTCGCCGCTGCTGCCTTATGTTTTCGGGAAGGTGGCGAGTACGGTGGAGGGCTTTGGCAGCACCAGTGAAGGCGTCAAGCCGCCTCCCGGGTTTATTGAGGAGTTCTTCGAGGACTCCGATTTCGATAGCTTGGACCCTATACTGAAGCAGCTGTATGAGGATTTGAGGGGCAGCGTGCTCAAGGTGTCTGCCCTTGGGAATTTTCAGCAGCCGTTGAGGGCATTGATGCTTTTGGTGAGCTTCCCGATGGGCGCGAAGTCGCTGGTTAATCACCCTTGGTGGATACCGAAGGGAGCTTACCTGAACGGGCGTGTCATTGAGATGACTAGCATTTTGGGCCCATTTTTTCACGTCAGTGCGTTGCCCGATCCTACGTTATTCAAGAGCCAGCCTGATGTGGGGTGAGCAAATTCTTGGTTGTTTTGTAGGTGAAAATGGGGCTGTTGTGCTGTTGTTGCCTGTCTGCAATGATGATTCAATTTGTTTTTGAGTCTGTTTGATATTATCCGTAATGGCATCTGAATTTTCACTCTGATTGTCGCACTGCACTTTTCAGTGGCATAGCATCAAACAGTTTTGAAAGTTTTGACTCTGTCTCTCTCTCTCTGCAACTAAAAGTGCAGAGATACATCTAAATGAATTATTTTTTAGTGTTTGCAGCTTCAAGATACTGTCTTTTTCCAGTCAATTTACGTTTCTCTCGAATGACCATGGAGCATCGGTTCACTATTCGACTTCAAGATAATTGCAAAGTTCAAACCACTAAGAGTCACAAAGTTAACATTGATGAGGTGAATGCTGTCCTATTGTTGTCCGTTTAATAATGGATGAAGGGAAAGAAATTCACTACTTCAAGTCTTGTTCTCCGTTGCTTTCATTGGAAGAAGCCTCGTTCTTGTTGTTTGCCATCATTCACCTCATCAATGTTACTCTTAGTGGTTTGAACTTTGCGGTTATCCTGCAGTCAAATAGTGAACTGATGCTCCATGATCGTTCGGGAGAAACATAAATTGACCGGAAAAAGACAGTATCTTGAAGCTGCAAACCCTGAAAAATCTGTTAATACTTGAGGGTGCATAAATACCTTGGCATTGTGTTTATCTTGTAACATCGGATGTGAAGTAAATAGGCCTGCTTTTCCAAAGAACCCCTTCAGTTTTCATCCATGTAAATTTCTATCAACTCAATTTTATTGATGTTGGTTAAAGTGCTTCCAGTTCTGACACATGCTCTTAATTCTCAGTCCAATTGGGATGAACAAATGGTTTTGGTAGTCATCCAACTAGAACTTCTCCAACTTTGAAGAATTCTCTGCTCATACAAGCACATTATTATATTGTGTTCTGATCTTTTTATGCAAAGCTTCTTAGTATTGTACTATGTCCCCCCTAAAAAAAAGACTCATCTGCTGCCTTTAGCCCTTGATGTGTTTTCAAGACTCAATTATATTTCGTTGTGATGCATGATTCTATTAAAATACCAGCCAGCAGTGCTTTTCAGAGGCATCAACAAGACGGCCATCCGATTTACTATCTTCCTTCACCACAATCAAGACTGTCATGAACAACTTATACACTGGTCTGAAGGAAGTTCTTCTCTGTCTCCTTAGAAAGGCTGAAACTCGGGATAGTGTCCTGGAGTATCTTGCAGAGGTTATCAACAAAAATGCCTCAAGGGCTCATATACAGGTAAAATCTTCCCTTCTGTTATGAACCTTGACAGAGTGGTAATGGCCGCAATCATGCATGGAGAACATGTCTAGCCTGTTCCGTGAGTTGGCCCGTTATTTGTTCCTGCTATCCTGATTTTCGCTTTGCCATTATTTCTGTATCAGGTTGATCCGATGTCCTGTGCAAGTTCAGGCATGTTTGTAAATCTCAGTGCTGTTATGCTTCAACTTTGTGAACCATTTATAGATAGGGATTTGTCAAAGAAGGATAAAATTGATCCGAAATATGTATTCTATAGCAACCGTTTGGATTGGAGGTAATGACCGTTTCACATGTATAATTGTCTGATTATATTTCCTTTTACTTTTAATTATTCTGCTAATTGTTGCTTCTCAACTATTTCAGACCCTTGACTGCCCTGCATGCATCCTCAGAAGAAGTTGCTGAATGGATTAATAAAGGTGATACCGAGAAGAGTATTAAGTCAGGTGAACATAATGAGGGTCAAAATCGGTTGTTACAATCTCAAGAGGCCACCAGCTCTGGCAGTGGACAATCAAGTGGTACTGAAAGGGAGAAGTATCCATTTATATGCGAATGTTTCTTTATGACTGCGAGGGTGCTTAATCTAGGCCTACTAAAAGCATTTTCTGACTTCAAGCATCTTGTTCAGGTGGTTGTTGCTATTGTTTAGTTTCATATGCGTACATCTGGCTTTAGAAAATAAAACTTTTCACATGTAAGTTGTTTATGAGTTATATAAGGCTGTTTCTTTTGTGTCTAACACTCCCGAATGATGATTTTGATCAGGACATTTCAAGATACGAAGATACTTTATCCACACTAAAAGACATGCAAGGCCAAGCGCCTTCTCCACAAGTGGATAATGAGATTGCTCGCCTTGAAAAGGAAATAGAGCTATATTCCCAGGAGAAACTTTGTTATGAAGCTCAGATACTGAGGGTAAGTTGGCTCTCTAATTTGTTAGGCAACCTGACTTCAGCAATTAGATAAATAACCATTAACAATAAGATGAACTTGGTATTGTGGCCTCTTTCCGGTACAGCTACAGCAGTTGATTATCTCCCGGTGAACAGTCATCCCAAGCTTTCTTCTCTATGATTTTTAACTTTCATTCAGGCTCATTCATTAATTTTGTGAAATAATGCTCTAATATGGTTTTTATGGAAACCTTGCGAGAAACTAAGGATTTTACCTCCTTACCCAAAAAAAAAAAAACTAAGGATTTTACCTTCATGTGAAGATGTGCCTTTTCTTGGATGCATACTAATACAAAATGATGGTCTCATCCCATCGTCAATTTAGTTTAACTAGTTCACGTTATCTGTTGTGTAATTGAAGGACAAAGACCTCATTCAGTGGGCACTCTCTTTTTACCGATTAATGGTGGTTTGGTTAGTTGATATGGTTGGTGGGTTCAAGATGCCACTGCCATCAGACTGCACAAAGGAATTTGCATGCATGCCTGAGCATTTTATTGAAGATACAATGGAGTTGCTAATTTTTGCTTCGAGGATTCCAAAAGCTTTGGATGGAGTCCTGCTGGTGTGTATATCTCGTCTCTTTCTAAGGTTTAGAGTGCTCATTTTATCTAATATATTTCCTATGCTGTTCTTGCTTGGCAGGATGATTTTATGAACTTTATAATCATGTTCATGGCAAGTCCACAATTCATTAGAAATCCATATCTCAGAGCAAAGATGGTCGAAGTTTTAAATTGCTGGATGCCTCGCAGGTGGTAATTTTAATTTCTCTCTATAAATCCGCTCTTCTGTTGATCTTAAATAAATAGCTTTTACAATTTGATTATATTATCTGCAGTGGCTCATCCATTACGGCATCTCTTTTCGAAGGGCACCAACTTTCCCTGCAATATCTCGTGAGGAATCTTCTAAAGCTTTATGTGGATATAGAGTTCACAGGTTCTCATACGCAGGTAATTCCCTCTTTAAAGGCATTATGAATATAAGTGAAACTAACTCCCTCCCCTCCCCTCCCCCCTCTCTCTCCTTACTTATATGGAAGAGCTAGAATGCAGAAAACTCAGTTGCAGGACGAGCATATGAATACAGCACATAACACCAATTTTGTAGTCCTCCCACTGTTAACAAAAATGCAGAGTGAGAAAAAATTGTCTACAAAATGTATACCCCACTTCATCATTTTCAGTCTGTACACTGCTATCCTTTTGGTTATATCTAGATATAATTGTATATTTGTGTCCCATTGTTCTCCACATTTTAAAAAGTAGTATTCCTCATATCGTCAGTTTATTGTGGTTTTGTTTCCGTGCAGTTTTATGACAAGTTTAACATACGACATAATATTGCGGAGCTTCTAGAGTACCTGTGGCAGGTGCCCAGTCATCGTAACATCTGGAGACAGGTTGAATCAACATTATCCACTAATAATTATCTTGCTTCTGCATTTACTCCGATATAAATATTGTGTTTTTCCTTGTCTGTATGAGATTCTGTACATATTTTTGTTATTGTAGATTGCCAAAGAAGAGGAAAAGGGTGTCTACCTTAATTTCTTGAACTTCCTGATTAATGATAGCATCTATCTGCTCGATGAAAGTCTCAACAAAATTCTTGAACTTAAAACGCTAGAAGCTGAGATGTCGAACACTGCAGAATGGGAGAGTAGACCAGCTCAAGAGAGGCAGGAAAGAACACGCCTATTCCACTCCCAAGAGAATGTGGGTTTACTGTTTGATGTACGTATTCGCCTAAATAGTGGTTGAGATATGCCTTTTTAATGTACATTGTTTGACCTTGGCAGATAATTCGTATTGATATGAAATTGGCAAATGAAGATGTGAGCCTGCTGGCATTTACTTCGGAACAAATTACAGCTCCTTTCTTGCTTCCTGAGATGGTAAGATTAGTGCACATGCATGTTATTCCTCACATCCCACAATTTAAGCTGCAGGATTTTTGCGCCGTTTTAGTATGTTTTACCTTAAGAGCTGTTGCATAACCGTATTACAAGTTTGATCTGTTAATGTTTCCTTTCTTTTCAGGTTGAAAGAGTAGCCAGCATGCTCAATTACTTCTTATTGCAACTTGTGGGTCCACAAAGAAAATCTCTTAGTCTGAAAGATCCTGAAAAGTACGAGTTTCGTCCAAAAGATTTGCTTAAACAGGTTGGAATTCATGAACTTTTTTTCGCTTCCAACACATTGGTGCATAGTCGATTTTGTTTACCTCGTTTGATGATGGAAAGTCAGCTGGAAGTGAACAACCAAACAATTTAGCCAGCTTAATCTAGTCGAACGACAAGTGTGAGAGTTAAGGAATTGTGTTTCAAATGCCTAACATTTCTAGGTTAACACAAGTTGTTTTGTGAGATAATGAGAGGGAAAGCTCTTATAATGTGGATCATAGTTGAATCATCTCACAAGCTTTAATATTTAACATGAACATGGATGTTGGTATGGTTGACTAACAACTTTACCAGTTTGGTAATTAATTCTCATTGTTTGGCTGCAGATTGTCCAAATCTATGTTCATCTGGCACGCGGTGATTCAGAAAATATCTTCCCTGCTGCCATCTCTAAGGATGGTCGATCATACAATGAGCAGGTTATTATCTTGAGGATGCTTTCTTTTAGCATTGCATGAACGGAAAAATATTGAAACCTTCAAGTATTTCATGGATTTTAGTATATTGCCTACTCATAAATCTGACATATTATAATTGTTTGGAGAATATGCCAGTTGTTTGGTGCTGCAGCTGATGTTCTTCGTAGGATCGGTGAAGATGGGAGGGTTGTAAGGGAGTTTCTTGATCTTGGTGCAAAAGCTAAAGTTGCAGCGACTGAGGCCATGGACACTGAAGAGGCTCTTGGGGAGATACCTGAAGAATTTCTTGACCCAATTCAAGTATGTTATTCATTTCATTCAGTGAGGTTTAAAGTAAAATTCTTTTGTAATTATCCAGTTCGGTACGAGTAAGGACTGGATTAGCCTTCAGTCTTTATTGTTATGATTATAGTTATTTCGGGCAAATAGATCCAGCTTGTTGGGTTGTGTATACATCTTCTCATTCCAACTAGTGGTTTTCACCTAACTGATCTCACCTATAACCTTTTCAGTACACGTTGATGAAGGATCCAGTGATTTTACCTTCTTCAAGGATCACAGTGGACCGACCGGTGATTCAGAGGCATCTTCTCAGCGACACCGTAAATATCCTCTCGACAGTTCGATTGCGCCTATATCAACTGTTTTCTACTGTATGCTGATCAAGGTTTAATTGCAGACTGACCCGTTCAACCGCTCCCAACTTACCGTGGACATGCTGATTCCCAACGTCGAGCTGAAGGCGAGAATTGAAGAGTTTGTCAGGTCCCAAGAATCAAAGAAGCGTGGGGAGGGGCTGAGCTTCCCTTCTCCCAAGGGATTGATACAAACCACGAACGAGGAGATGCTCATCGATTAGGACTGTCGTCGTACTTGATTTTCTCTGTCAGGTCTAATTATAATCGTTAGGGGGATAATTACATGGTGTATTTATAATGATACGCCTGCAGTTACATGCAGAGATGTTTATCCACAATTGTTTTTGTTACTTCTGAAAGACCCGGCTCTGTCTGGCTTCTGTTACTTTCATACGAAATTCCACATGGAAGGAACGGAAATTGGCAGTTCTTTGTTCATTGAAATTTGGAGATTCCAGCGACGTAGTATGTATGTGAAAGTATCTTATGCCAGACTCATCAAAGGCATGTAACCTATTGTCTTCCTAATGAAAAAACATGTATGTGAACGTGAATATCATTAACAATATAATCGGGGTCCTGTGTAAGCCATATGTCATAGGACGAGTACCAGCCCTTTCCCAAAAGCTACACTTGCAAGTGCTTCCCTATCGATTTCAACTGAGGCGGGCAATTCGTGAGCCCCGACGATAAAAGTGAGCCAACTTGCAGCTCTCGCAGCAATGGTTACAGAGTGTTCTGCCTCCTTCGGAGCAAGAACAACATCTTCCAGCTCCAAGCAGCTCATGTAGCCGCACCCTGGCGCTTCAATGCTGCGTCGTGGCAGATCTTTATCTCCTAGTTTTCCGTCTCGAGTTTTAGTAGAAAAGATTTTGCCGAGCTTTTGAGGCCACGGATGGGGCAAACAACAACAATAAGGCACCCGACTTAATTGTATCAATCAAAGTTTTGGCATGAGAGTTGCATCCCTCCTCCTGGCATATTCATGAGCAATGCTGATGCCACTCTTGCTGTGACGAAGAGAGAATTCTGCAAGCAGGATTTGGCTTTCTTCCATTGTCAGATCACCATGGTGCCCCTGTCGATATCTCACGGTAGTTTGATTTTAGTATTCCAACAATAAAAACTAAATGAAAAACCGACGTTAGATGTTAACAGGAGCACTCAATGAGATATGGCGTTCGATAATAGCCTCTTCATATAACATGTATAGACAGATCAATTAAAATAGTGACAACCAAGGAATCTAAAAGAATTGCATAGAAGACATCAAAGTATATGACAACTTTCACTAAATGGCACAATTTGGCAGATTGTAAATTCAACCATGAGCTGGTTTCAATATAAAATGAATAAATATTCATATAGTCATTGTATGGAAGGTAATAGAAAAGGCCGTACCAATCGAGAAGTTCTGTCACAAACAGCATGATGCATTAGAATGCCCGCAGCAACAGAGACATTGAAGGAGTCTACCATGCCCTTCATCGGGATGCTGCAATGGAGATCCGACAACTTCAGGGCCTCGTCACTAATTCCCCTGCGATTGAACTTTTGTTAAGCTTGCTCATCGTATGGACATACATATGCAATCACGTTCAGAGCTAGTAACATAACATAACCCCAGAGACAAGGGCTTCGGGTGATTCCAAGTTTCACCTTCCAATTTCGAGAAGGCCTAAACTAAGTAATGGGAACACAATTTTACATCACTGAACTGTGAATAGACAAACCACTTTGCTCAACATGACAATCTAGATTAAATGTAACAAAACTGCCACGATGAATGAAGGATACGGATAACTACAACTACCTGTTCTCATTGCCAACTACAATTGCAGTGGGATAAGACCAATCCATATCATAAATGGACACCTGCAAAAAATTTACCAGGAGTCATTCAGCGACAATTGCTTTATAAAGTCTCTTGCTGTCAGAAACTACGCTTCATATAACAAGGTTACGATAACTGAAGACTTCACCAGTGCTAGTCGCAAAAGAAATGTATTCGCTTACTAGTAAGAGAAGAGAAATTCATGGAAGAGGCAGAATCAACAAATACCGCATCTGTTGCCAAATGAGTTGTGGCAATTCTATAACCGCGAGATCTGAGAACTCTAAAGCACTCTTGGGTTGAGTTCCAAAGTTCAATGTCCAACCATTTCTCCGCACCCATGCTGACATGCCTATTTTCTCTATACCTACAATAAAAACTCGTTCTGTTAAGTATATTCAAAGTTGCTTATTCAACTTAGATATCCAATGATACGTATTCCTCACAGAAGAAGAAACAACAAAAGAAGAAACTTTACGGATCTGTCCTCTTAAAGAAAAGGAGAAGAAACATCAAGGAGCAGCAACAAGAAGACAGATGAAACTTTGCTCATTCGGGAAGCAAAAGTATATCCTTTTTTCACTTCACACCAGACTATTTACTGCTACCTCCGAGAAATCACATAAAAACCTACGAAAACAAAACTAACCACAAAATTTACACGTCTGAACTTCTGAAGTCACCGCATCCATGAAGCCAGATACTTCAAAGTTCAAACATGAAACTAACAGTAAGAACTGAGACATTATCCCTCACCTATATGGCCATCATTTTATTACATTGTTTTTCACATGAAATTCAGAATGTATGAGCATCAAACACGCGTAGATACAGCTCGAAGATATTGAAAATGCGACGCATGAACCGGGCAGCTCGAAAAGTCTAGTTATTGCACTAAAATTCGAGAGTCATTGAACTCGAGCAGAAAAAGCACCAAACTAAACAGCAATTGATGCACAAGGAGCTAAAACAAAGAGAACCATTTTTCACCTCGGACACGACCCAGCACCTTTTCGAGCTATCGCACGACACGACGTGAACGGACTGGAACCCCAGGGCGTCCGCCGATCGGAACGCGGCGGAGACGTTCCCAAAGTCGCAGAGCCCTTCCACCACCAAGCATACCGAGTAGCTCCGGTTTCTCACCGCGTTCCTGAACCTCTCCTTCCTCACGTCCATGATGAGCGGATCAAGAGCTTCCAACACCTCGCCGCTGCTCAGAAAGGAAGCCCCGCACTCGAACCTGTCCAGATAAGGGAACCACCTCTCGCCGGAACCGCCGCCGACCGCGGACCTGCGCTCCATCTTCATCAGCTGCGCCACGTCGTCGCGGTCCATAACCAAGTGCCCCGCGGCGTCCTTCGACGGGCCCTGAGGGGGCGGCGAGTCTTCGTCGGACGCTTCGGCCGGTTCCAGAGCGACGGCTCCCGGAACCGAGCCGAGGCATCTCGCCGCAACTCCGTGGCGTCTGACGAGGCCCGATCCTGCACCGAATCGCAACGACGCGCGCACTCGCTCACGGAGATGCTTCGGAAATGCCATTTCCGCAGGCAAAATGGAAGCCGGCGTGTTCAGAGGAAGAGAAGCTTTTTACCTCGAGAAGGCGGAGGAAGAGAGTGCAGGGACCGGAGAGGGAGAGAGAACGAGGCGCGGCGGCTGCTCCGGAGGCCGGACTCGAGAGAGAAGAGCGACGTGCGAGCCAGGGTTCTGCAGGCGCTCATCGTTCCCGCGGTCCACGCGCCGCCGCGGACGGTGCCGAGCAGAGAGGTGTGGCTGAGCTGCTGACTGACGAGGAAGACGGTTTTTGCCTTGGTCTTGGACGAAGAAGATATCGACTAAACTACGTCGTTTCATGGATCCGGTGACCAGCTAGAACATGCCGTTTTAAGTACTGCTCTAATTTGTTCATTTTCTTTTGTGGTGCTATGCGGTCGCTCTTTTTAAGACGAAAAAACAATCTGGAAAAATAAACATCCGTATTATTTGATGATGGGAATTATTATATCATGATTTAAGTTGAATATCTTCGGGGGATAATTCACGGGTAACGTTATCTTTATACCCATCATTCGAACTTATGGGAATAGTAGCCAAACCAGTAAATTATATTAACTTAAACTGATTGAAGGATAACGTCGAATAAATTCATATAGTTCAAGAACTAAATTGATCATTTGCCAAAAGTTTAGGAACCATATTGAATAAATTAAAAATTCAAAGACGACATTACACATTTGGCTAAAGTTCAGAAATCACATGAAACACATAAAAAAATTCATGGATATCATTACACATTGATCTAAAGTTCATGGACCATACGTTTAGTTATCCTGCTAACATTTCTAGTGCTTCCCCATGTTTTTTTTTTCCTTTTTCTAACTGGCCTAAGTAATTTTATTTTCCCCTTCTTGTTCCATAGTCATCACATACTCTCGCAGCAGACAGTACTCTGTATAATTACACGTGCAAATAATACATGACAGAGGAATCCCACAATTTGGGACGAAATTTTTTTTTTTCATAACACACATTCGAATTTCTCATAAGCTTGAGATAAACTCGATTCCAATCATGGCCCCCCTCTTCTTTTGGATACCCGAGGACCGCCCTCCACCTTCAATGGCAAACGCAAGTGATCAAACGATCTCACCAAACCTTTTTAGGGCCCATGAGCCCAAGAACCTCCTCCCAGAGCCCGACGCTCCCGACACCGCCGAGCCCGATGACACTTGGGCTACACGCCGCGACGGTCCAGTACCCGGCCCGAATCTCGTCTCCCAGCTGGCGTTTGTCCCACCCGCAACAACCTTCAAAGAACCTGAAGTCCCCAACCCCGACCACCCCTCGCTTCACCATCTCCGCCGCGCACCCGCCGCTCTCCTTCCTCCCATAGTACAACCCCTCCATCACCTCCTCGAAAACCCCGCTCTTGCTGACGTCGTCGTCGTCGCCGCCGCCGCCTCTCATCAGGAACAGGCCCGCCTCGATGGGCCCGCCGAAGTAGAGCGGGCGCTCGGAGAACGTGCCCGCCATGTCGAGCCCCGTGGACTTGGACTCCTTGATGGACATGAGGGAGGGCCGGTTGAGGATAACGCCCGCTGGGCCCACGGGCCCGGTCGATAGGAGCAGGATGACAGCCCGCTCGAAGATGTGGGCCCCGTCGAGCTTCACCGTCGCGATGAGCAGGCAGCCCTTCTCGGGCTCGTGGATGATATGGGCCCACTTATCCCCGATCATGATGGGGGACGGCCGATCCACCGGGGTGTCAAGGTCGACCGACGGGGAAGGCACTTCGGGCCTCGATGCCCTTTCGCCTACCACGAGTCTTGCTCTGAACGACCGCCAATCCGAATTAGGAAAGCTCCTGGCGACATCTCCGAAAGGTGAGTTGGACTCGAAGTTACAACCTGCGATCAAAGACTCGATGAGATATACTCGAAGCCAAGAAGTAGGAGAAGAGTTTTGGATAAAAACGATCAAACTTGAAGGACTTACACTTTATGGACAATGAGCAGCCCGAGGATTTTGGCTGATTAAGAGCAGAATCTGATTTGGGGTGAGGGGCGAACGACTTGGGCTTAGCCGAAGGGACTACCTTGATGGACTTGGTGAAGGAATTTGAGGTGAGAAAGCAAGCCTCCATGGTCGCTGTCGCTTATGCTCTAACTAAACTGAACTTGTTAACGCGATCCTCTCCTCTCACGGTCTCAGAATGCAGATATGATAGAGATGGTGCAGAAGTGGAGACTTGAGGAAGTATTTTATAGAGGAAGCGAGGTTGAATGTGCACCACAAGGTGTCTTGGTCCTGGTTGGATGCAGCTACGGTAAGCTCTCCGAAGGAAAGTATGGGCTATTGGATATGAACCTCCACGTGGCCCAAGCTTGAAGCCTTGTTTCGGGACATGCCCTTTGTGGATATAGGATGAAGGGAAGTGAACTTTTTCTATGTGGCTTTTTGGGTGACGTGTCACGAGGCCAGCCGCTTACTATTGGTCTTTCTGGAAAGGCTACCGAACTTCCACTTCCAGCTGATTAACAGAAGTTTTCTAAATTTAGAAAATTACTATTCCATTTAGTTGTAATTGGTAGTACTATAGTTGTATTTGTAACTGCTCACTCCAATCTCTGTATTATATATTTTGAATTTCTTATTTGATTAGTTAAAAACTTCTTACCCTTTTAACATTGATGACGGGACAAAAGCACCGCCATGCACGCGAACATGTAATTTTCGAGACACATAAGAAACCATTTTTATCTCTGCTTGATCTGATCAAAGCAGAGATGATCTGATCAGAAAAGTCATGTAAATGACTTACTCTAAGACTATACAATGAATGAACTGACTAACCTCTTAGCTTGGCAAAGTATGAATCTCCCTCCAAATTTCTTAAAAACTGTCTCCTATCTTCCTGCTTCAGTAATTGCTGCGCAAGTATCTCGAGGAGAGCGATCCATCTAAGGCTGATTGTCTGTATGCAAATGTCCCTCTTTGGTTGTCCTGCCAATTTACACATGAACAAGGAATTAGATACAGAGAATATGCATATAATATCAGAAGGACAACGGATTGCAGCTAGGACCAAGTCGCAAGCAACAATTAGTGGCTGTATGTCTTCTCCCTGATAGGAACGTCTCCAATCCTCCAGGCAATTCACAAAATTAACGGTGGAAAGTGCCTTGCACACTTTCGTAACAGTCAAGATGCGCTAGCACAAATTCTTAAAGAAAGAACCTCCCTCATGCAATGGCTGCTATGCGGACTAGATGATGCATCGAGTAAAAACTCATGGAGAGCTTGGTTTTGCTTTGCCTCGTCAATCTCCCAAAAGATGCCCTCATCTTGCGTATGCAGCTTCAGCGGTTACATTGTAAATATCTATATGACATTTAAATGTGCCAGGCCTGAATGAAAATCTAAATGAGCAATAGTTTAGTGTCACACTCTGGTCAGTTTTGCTTAAAAAATCCCGAGCTTGTATTTCCATGCAAAGCCAACATGATGGGTTATCTCGCAAATCCTAGCTAAGAACAAAGATAAAATAAAAAATCTGTGGGATAAAGAAAAGACTTTTTCTCAAAATAAAAACAGATTCATTAACATGTACAAGTCGTTGAGGATATAGTATGAGAGAGTAAAATCAGAAATTAGGAAGCTGCAGATATTTGAATTTATCTCATTTATCTACAACTTATGTACAGCCAATTAAGTATTGGGTTCTGATGTATGAGAGAACCAATGCTGACATGCATCTTCTTTCGACTCCATCAGGACTCAGAACAATAAGGGTTGGTCCGAACCTCATGAAGAAAACATTGATTGGTGTCATCGGCAATAAGCCCGTCCAATGCACACAAAGAGCCAAAGAGAGTAAGCAATAGCTAAAGCTCGATAGATGCACCAACGAGATCAGAATGGCTACATGCCCTTGGATGAACATGCTTCTCATTTTGTGAAGATCTCAGTGTTGGCGCATCCAGGCATCCAGTCACCTTGAGTAGGAGCGGGATTGACTAATGGAACATCTGTGCCGCGTTCTTTTAGTACCCTTTTGGATTAGTCTTCTTTTACTCAAGCTCCAAACCCAAAGTTGTTATCATTTGATAAATTCCATCCGATTCAGGGTGTGATGTATCAAATACTGTAAATTCATGGACCCCATTGCCCAACTCTACTGAACTTTCTCCGGATGGTTTCTGAAGCCTCGTGCTCTTCATTTGCCGCCTTATATTAGCAACACCCTCCCAGTCACCCATTGCAGCGTGAATATTTGACATCAGAGAGAAATTACCTGAATCAGAAGTATCCAATTTAATTAGATGATCAACCACCTTTGAGGCCACGTCGGTATTGTTATGGATACGGCAGGCCCCCAAAAGTGTACCCCATATAATGGCATTGGGTTCCATCGGCATTCTCTGGACAAGAGCAAAGGCCTCCTTAAGACGACTGCCACGACCCAATAGATCAATGACACAGCCATAGTGCTCAACTTGAGGAACGATCCTAAAATCTCTTTCCATTGCATGAAAGTAATCTAGGCCTTCATCAACAAGACCTGCGTGGGTACACGCACACAACACACCAATGAATGTAACTCCATCTGGTTCAAACCCTTCCTCTTCCATTCTAGAGAAAAGGCAGAGTGCTTTCTCGCCATTCCCATGCATTGCCAAACCTTGGATCATAATGTTCCACGACACTGTATCTTTCTTGGTCATCAAATTAAAGATGCTTAGAGCATCATCCAACCTACCGCACTTTGCATACATATCGATCAGTGCATTGGTGACCAGAGTACTACACTTGAATTTAGTCCTCTCAACCCAGGCATGAACTTTCATACCCAGTCTAAGCAGACCAGACTCTGTAGAAGCAGCCAAAATGCTAATAAGAGTCCCATCATCAGCCACTAATCCAGACTCCCCCATTTGATCATACAACTGACTGGCCTCCTTCGCCATCCCCTTCTTGGCATATCCCGATATCATTATAGTCCACGGAACCAAGTTCTTCGCAGGCATCTTGTCAAAAAGAACTCTGGCCATATCCATCTCCCCAGCTTCACTATAACCAGAAATCATAGTAGACCATGACACGACGTTCCGCCGTGGCATTTCCCCGAACAATTCAAACGCAGCATTCATTTCTCCAGCCTTCGCATATCCATCCAAAAGGATGTTCCAACTAATCGTGTCTCTATCCGGCATTTCATCAAACAGCTGGCGAGCTTCTAGAAGCTGCCCCGCCTTCACCAGCCCATTGATCATAGTATTCCAGGATACCGTGTCTCGCACTGCAATCGAATCAAACAACTTCCAAGCTGCTCTAACACCCAATGAACCACACTTGCAGTAAGTATCAATCAGCGAATTCGGCACGAAGATATCCGCACAAAACCCGAACTTCTCGACGTGGGCGTGTATCGTTTGCACCAGCGACAAGCTAGCTTGGCCACAGCACGCCCTAAGAAGATAAGGGTACGTGAAATTGTCCGCGAAAACCCCATTCCGCTGCATCTGGAAGAAAGTCGCGAAGGCCCGGGAGGCCTGCGAGTTCTGCGCGTAGGCCCGTATCAGGATGTTGTACAGATGCGCGGTGGGCTCCGGAATCTGGTCGAAGACGCTGACGGCCAGCGCCATGTGGCGGCAGAGGGAGAAAGCCGCGACGAGCTTCGCGGCCACGTCGATGTCCCGGTGGAGGCTGGCCTTGAGGACCTGGGCGTGGACTTGCTTGATGTGGCTCAAGTTGGTGCACCGGTGGAGGTCCGACAGCTTCTGCTCGAAGATCCGCCGCGGGGAGACCCACCGCGGGGTCCGGACCGGCACGGACATTTCTGGGTCGCCGTCCGTCGGTGGGGCGCGTCCGAAGATGAGGAGGTCGCTCGACCCCTCTGCACTGCAGCTTCCGGCGATGAGACGTGGCGGTTGATTTGGAGGGAAGCAACGGAACCTCGAAAGGATGAAACGGAGGAGGGAGACCACACATGGACTGAAGAGTTCGAACAAGTATAGCTTTTCTTAAATCCGACCACGCTTTTTACGAGTCGGATAAGAGATGACGATGATGATGCCTGAATTGGCGTTGGAGACGCCTTCGTCCTTGATTAGATTTTGATTAATACGAGGGTCGAGCCTAATATCGAGATTTAAAATCTTTTTGCATAACAATTAAATTTTAGGTTTAATACTACAAAAAAAAACCCCAAATCAACATATCTGTGATAAATTTACCTTCCGTCCTGTTAAATTTCTTTATCACAATTCTTGAGTGGGCGACACGTTAGTGTACCTTTATGTTTATCACATATTTACCAATTTATGATTTTTCGTGGTATTAATTCAATTTAACGGAAGGTAAATTTATCACGGGTGTACTAATTTGAGTAAATTGGTACACCTAAGTTGGATGACACGTTGGTGTACCTTTCTGTTTATCACATATTTACCAATTTATGATTTTTTCGTGGTATTAATTCAATTTAACGGAGGGTAAATTTATCACAGATGTACCAATTTGGGATTTTTAGTAGTCAAAAAATTAGTTTTGAGTAAATTTATGACACGTTGGTGTACCTTTCTGTTTATCACATATTTACCAATTTATGATTTTTCGTGGTATTAATTCAATTTAACGGAGGGTAAATTTGTCACAGATGTACCAATTTGGGGTTTTTAGTAGTCAAAAAATTGGTTTTGAGTAAATTTATTACATATGTATTAATTTGTGATTTTTCATGGTATTAACTCTAAATTTATTATACGGAATATATCGAATTTAGATAGGTTAGGCAATATGAGGTGGTCGGGTCGCGCAAAGTAAGGGAATTACTTGCTAAGACTCGCTCCTTTTGTTCTTCGATCTAGGTGACTTCCTTGAGCCACTCCTCAAAAGATTGAGCTTATCTTAAATAAATACATGCCCTTTTACTTGTCACGCGCTCGAGAAATTTTCGGGTATACCAATGCGCTACATCTTCGTCCATTCAAGTCAATCGCAATGTATTAATATCAATTTCCAATAATCAAAATTCAAAAAAATGTAATAGTGAGGTAATATAAGGATATTGTTTTTAATGGGAAAAGGGTGGGGAGACGGCAATCTGCGTTAGCAACCCCATATAGGTGTCATCATAAGAATATATACCACCAAATTATTAAATTGAATCATAATTACTCCTCACCACTTGTGATCTGAAGATTTAATATTTAAGGTTAAAAAGTTCATTACTGCAATCCTACCAAGATGTTAACCACGAGAAAATCTCCTAACGCAAATATGCTTTTACCAGGGACGATTAATAGATATGCATCTTACTCCCCTAGAAGGGAAAAAGGGGCAAGCTTGGCAACGACCTTACTTGAGAAAGTTCGACTCAACCAACTTTTTATTTGAGTAGATCTATATGCAAATTTCATATTATGAGCGGGTTCGGGCAATACATCGGGGCTGACCTCTAGCCCGAGCCTGTGTGATGAGCGCTTCTAGTTGTGGTAATCCATATACGAATCTTTTAGAGGTTCGAGTATAATGACGTGTGGGAATTTAAAAAACTAATTCTTTCACTTATAGTTGATAATCGTGTCGTCGTACATATCAATTGGATTTTGTTAACAAATGCACTCAACATATTCTCCACTTGCGCTTGGTGGGACTATGTAGAGAGGCTCGTCCAACTTATAGTTGATGCTTCATTGGGGCTTTAAATCGAACGTCCTAATAGTGTGTGAGATAGGTCTAGGTCCGCCAAACTGGTGAGTAGGGTCGGATTTGGATCGGATCAAAGATCGGGTTGGGTTCGAAAATGATCCGACCTGAATTGACACATTTAATCCGTTTTGACTCATTTTTATACAATACAAATCTTATGACCCACATACCTAACTCATACCGATTCGTCTCATGTTACTAAAACATTTTCATATTTTACCAAATTTAGGAAAACTCATAATGAAACTGAGGTAAGAGATCAGAGTGAGCGAGTGAAATTATAAATATGGACCGGGTCTAAATAAAGAGAAAATATTAGGTGAGTTTAATACTTCACGTCACCCATGCAACACACCATTCAAAAGTCGACATTTGGCAATTCGGGCCCACCTTCTGCCTCCTCTGTCTCTCCCCTGTTCCGTTGCTTTTGCGTTCATTGGACGTTATCTCTCTCTCAGTTTAGGACTCCGTTGCTTCTTCTCCGTTCCCCTGCTCTTCCCGCTCGACTCACAATCCGAGTACCCCACACAGTGCTCCACCGGAATCTCCGGAGCCGGACCGGAGTACATGGGGCACCTCCGACTGCACAATCTCGAGGATCTCCTTCGAGATGGGGGTGTGGCGGCCGGCGCGTCGAGGTCGGCGCGGTGCTTGGCGGCGCCCTTCCCGCCGTCGCGCCGATGGGAGGTGAGGCAGAAGGAGAGGAGGAAGAGCGCGACGATGATGAGGGAGCCGAGGAATATACCGACCGACCCACAGGAGGAGGACGAAGATGGAGGTTGGCTTGGACAGGTTGGTGTTCACGAACGACAAGTTGTAGACCGGCATCTTCGCATCGACCCTCCGCAAGAAAAAAATCGGGCCTTTCAGCGAACGGAGGCATGGGTGGTTTCGATCGTGAAGAAGAAGGGAGAGAGAGAGAGAGCGGAGTCGTGAACGGAGCAGTGCAAAGAAGATGAGGGAGAGAGGGAGGAGAGAGAGAGTGTCCGTGTGTCTAACGGAAGGAGGAGATGAGGGAAAAAGTAACGGAGAGACAGAAAAAAGTAACTGAGCAGGGGAGAGAGACAGCGGAGTTAGAAAGTGGGCCCGGATTGCCAGATGTCGACTTTTGAATGATGTGCTGCATAGATGACGTGGAGTATTAAACTCACCTAATATTTTCTCCTAAATAAGTTGTGAATTCATTTAATAACCATATTATTTTGAATTTTACCATTCTAAACTCATTTATGACCTATTTACTAAATATAACTAACCCATATAATAACCCGACCCATTAAATTTTGGTTAAGAACAGGTCTACTTTTGAGGAAAAAAAAAAGTACCCCCATTTCACTTGTTAAATACATCACTAAAGAAAACCTTGTTGGCCGGTCTCGGGCCTCAATGCCCTCCCACTTATACCCCGTATCTCTCCCGCGTGATTATCGGGTTCAGACTGGTTGGCAATATCGCGCTTTTGCTTTCCCTCACACTTATCAATCGACCACTAACCCCTTCCACGATCGATACAGGATAACCTCATCAGATTTGTCGTTTTTTTTCTAACCTTACGTGTTACCAATGTATCGAAAACGAAAGACAATCCCATATGATCGGCACGTGTCTCGACAACCCTCGTCGCGAAGATCAGCGGGGATGTTTGTGTCGTCCATCTCTGATCTCCCTATCGAGTTTCGAATCCGAAAACCGACCAACCAATCGGCCGCGACTTGCGCCCTTGTCCAGCGCAGCTGCCGGCGCAGGCCCAAAAAATGTCCACGCGCGGCTCGGCAACAAGAAGCCAACAAGGTGGTGGAAGGGAAGACGTCACGTTGGAGATTCCCACTCCCTACCGCCCCTCACCTAACCCCTTCTCGACACCACACCACACCCACCACCCTACCCACCACCACGACCACCGTACCCACCTTCGCTCCAACTCTCTCTCTCTCTCGCACTGCCATTCTCCTCGACGCTGAACCCGCCCTTCAATGATGGAGGCCAAGCTGCTGCAGGCCGCGTCTCCCGCGATTGCGGCCCCTCCTCGGTCCTCCTCCTCCTCCTCCTGCAGGCCCCCGAGGCTCGATCGCGGCGCCTTCCTCCTCCCCGCGGGGCTCGGTCCCGGCTCGCGGCGGCGGCGGCGGGCGGGCATCTCGTGCGCCCACGCCTCCGCCACTCCTGCTGGGTATGTGACTTCGCTTCCCTCTTGTGCGGGAAGTTGGGAATCCTGTTCTTTCCGCGCCCTTCGCGAATTTTTGGGCACGCGGGGGGCTTCTCGTCTTTTATGGTTTCCGCCGGTTCTGGTGGTGGGGCGGTTTGGAGTTTGGTTGACGTGATTGGGGTAGTGTGATACGATCGTCTGCCTTGTTTCTAATTCTGTTGTGTTCCTCAAATGGTCGAAAAAAAAGTTATAATTTGTGCGGCTTTGGCAAAAGGATCAAAAGGCAATTGCCCTTCTAAAAGGATAATGCCTTCCCTTCTTCTTCTTCTTCTTCTCAGACAATCCAAATTCTGAGGTGCGAAGTTTGAATTAGAAGGTGCGAAATTTCAGTGGTTGTTGCTGTGTGGGACTGTGGAGGTCTCTGGATTCTGGGTAATTTGAGTCTCTTTCCTGACAATTGATGCTGGTGTCAGTGTTTGTCCCAGAATACTCATGAGGCTTAGTTCTGTGTTTGTGCTGTTACTTCCGAACACCAAATTCTCACACATTTTACTGTGGATATGTTTCACTTTCATTCTCGGAGTTTCACTACGAATACTGTGAAAGGAACGGGATATCCTGGTTGATAATGGCATGGAACTTGCTCTGAATTTCGGTTCTTCTGTATGTAGATTCTCGCTGAAGAAAAGGATAGACAGGAGCGAGAGCTTGACGCTGGAGGGTATAAGACATTCTTTAATTCGGCAAGAGGACAGCATAATATTTGGCCTTCTTGAGAGATCTCAATATTGTTACAATGCTGAAACATACAACCCTCATGCATTCCCAATGGATGGTTTTGATGGTTCTTTGGTTGAGTTTATGTTGAAGGAAACTGAAAAGCTTCACGGTCAGGTGCGTTATGCTTTGACAAAGAAACATAGATGTGCGTTGTCGGAGGGAGAAGTGACAAGGAAGATTAATAATCACAATTTCACACATCTTTGTTTCCATGATTCATTATAAATTAGGTTGGTAGATACAAAAGCCCTGATGAGCATCCTTTCTTCCCAAATGACTTGCCCAACCCAATGTTGCCACCGCTGCAGTACCCACAGGTGAGACGACATGATATAACCAAACTCAATACTCTGCTGATATATTGCCAATTTGTTAATTGACCTATTTATGCAGGACAACAATCTGTATCCATCCTGAATACTTCTCATTAAATAAAAACAAGAAGAAATGGTGCCTGTGAATACTTTGAAAGTTATGTTGATGAGGTTTAATTGAATCCACTTTCTAGTTCTGGGCCTTGGCAAGTAGAGAAATTGGGCAAATGGACTTTTTTTTTTGAAGGGACTGTGACATAGAATCAATACCTTGCTTGGTGATGACCTCGAGTATTCTTCATGCATAGGTGTTTGAGACAAGCTGTAGATATCTTATTTAAGAGAGCAGAAGTTCACAAGGGGAAATTGTTCTTCGGGATTGGCCCTATTTAGGTCTCGGTAGTCCAACCATGACCCGACCATCTTTCTTGGGCACCAGTGCAGATTTAATGAGCCAGATTGAATGAGCGCCGACGTCAATGAATTTGGCATTATATTTGTTTGGGCATGCTTGATAGTTGAATATAGCTCACCCTTCCTGCCAAATTGATTAATGTTTAGCTCCAAAGATCTGCTCCTTTTAAAGTTTTGTCATTTATAACCAAATTATTGTTACAAAGCTTGTTCTTTTGTTTTAGAAGACTATTGACAAAATTGTTGGTGTCCTTTTTCACTTAAGATGACTTGGATGTTTCTACATGAATTAAATCATGGCTGCAGGTACTACATCCGTTTGCAGATTCAATCAACATAAACGGTAAGGTTTGGCAAATGTACTTCAGAGATCTGCTTCCAAGATTGGTTAGTGAAGGAGATGATGGCAACTATGGTTCATCAGCTGTTTGTGACACAATATGCCTGCAGGTATAAATTAAACTAATCTTGAATTGATTGGCAAATGCAGAGATGTCTCTTTAAGTCTCGATTTGTTGGAATAGGTTTTTTGGGTCATTGTTTCCAGACATGGTAACAGATGCTTAAAGGTTATGTGAGCTTCAGTTTAGATTTGTGAAAGGAACCTTATTTTTTATTGAGGCCTTCATCGGAAGCCTGGCAGTTTTAGCTGATTTTCTTATCTACAAGTTAAAAGAGTGAGGATGAAACTGGATGGCAGTTGCATTTGACCAGTCATTACTATCGCCTTGTAGAAAATTGACGTGAGATCGTTATATAGCATACATATTTGTCCATCCTTCACCTTTTAAGGAGTTAAATAAAAGAATTAAGACGAGTTATTCAATTTGATTTGTACACGTGTTCAATAAAGTCGTTAAGTAAACAATGTTGCCAGGAATTCAGGGAATATGTCCCAACTATCACTTGTCAATAACCTGCATTAGCCTTAAACATTGATCATTTCTCTTTATTGGTGAACTTGGTATATTTCTCCGGCAGACTATCTCAAATCAACAATTGACTTTGTCCATCCTCCAGAAGAAGAATGATTGTAGCCCAACTTGGACTGAAGTCTTTATACCATTGATCAGTTGCACGTGTGTCATGTCCGCATCTGCACGTGGCTGTCTAGATTGTCCCTTGGCGACACCGGGCCTTGTGGTTGTTACTGATGCAATCTCTTTTTTGCAGGCTCTCTCAAAGAGAATACACTATGGTAAGTATGTGGCCGAGGCAAAATTCCTAGCTGCCCCTGATGACTATAGAGCTGCCATTATAGCCCAAGTAACTATCCTTGAATGCTTTCCTGCTCGGCTTGACCCATTTCCACCCTTCTGTTATAGGTCCCGTGTTATTTCCATTGATCTTAAGATTTTGACTTTCAATTCGGATCATGCAGGACAGTGACAGGCTCATGGATATGTTGACATATCCAGCCGTCGAAGAGACAGTCAAGAAGCGAGTAGAAATAAAGGCTAAAACCTTCGGGCAGGAGGTAATTGTGGATGTTAAAGGAGATGAAGCTGACCCAGCATATAAGATCGAACCAAGCTTAATAGCAGATCTGTATGGCGACTGGATTATGCCGTTGACAAAGGAGGTTCAAGTGGAGTATTTGTTGAGGAGATTGGATTAATCGGAGCAAGAGCTTCCTCAGCTATATATCGAAAATAAAACACTAACTTTGGTCAACACAGGCATACCATTGTTGGGTTTGGGAACTATGTATGTAAAGTAGGAGGATATCAGAAAGATGTCTTGGGAATATAAGAAAGACAGCAGCTCATTTTAGAACTGAAACGCACATATATCAGACCGTTGGGTGTTTCAGAATAGCAGAGAGGTATATGCTTTCCGGTCTTTGCTTAATTCTCCCTCGATGTCGAAGGAAATGTGAAACCTTGTTCGCCTTCGGTCGTCTGCTCTTATTTTTTATGCTAGAACAGAACTAAAGTTTGTTATTCCCTCCTCGAGATTGGATTTCGATAATGGAAGGGGGGAAATGCCAATATTGTTTGGTTGACATGCTGATGATCTGCCTAGTTGAGGGCACAAACGGTTGAAAAACAGTATCCCACCGGGGACTGAATTGCATGTTTTCCTAGAAAAAGACAGGATGGAAATGCACCATACCTTTATGATACTCCACCATTACATTGAACTGTAACAAACTTCAGCCGTTTCAATTAATTTCAATCTGAACTGCTGTCATTTCGGGCATTTCTATTCAACGGAAAAAGGTCCAAGAGACACGCGAGGTGAGTAGGAATGTTCCCTTCTGTTCCAAAATGCTCTGTTATCATACCACCTTGCCCTGTTAGATAAGACAACAGCAATTATTATCAGCACATGCGCAGAAAGTGACCAGAATGCCTTTTGAGGCCCAGTGCAACCCTATCCATTTGCTACTTAATAATGTCAAACTGTCAAAAAGATTTGAGCCACCTTTCCAAATGGACGGTCCATTTCGTTGATCGAAGTAAATGTGGATATCCACCGACAAATTCGAAGAAATGAAACATAAAATGTATTTATTTCGCGTAAAATGAATAATTTGTATCGCTTATGAGAATGCACGAACGAAAATCATTTTCATAATCCATAAAAATATCTAAACATAAATTATTATCTATAATGAAACATTTCTTATTGAATAGCGATCACTTTCAAGATATCATTTTTCAAATTATTCATTTTCAGCAAAAACAAACGAGTCGTAATTCTGTAGTCAACGGTAGTGGTTAAGAGCGAAAAACCAACGCCTCTACCCCCAGAAAGGTGATTAGATTCTTCACCAGTTAATGTCATTTTAGTGGCTATTGATCTGGGTTGGGGACTGAACTACGAACCGGGCGAGACGGACCGCACTCGCACTGAAGTTGGAATCTTCAAAGAGGATGTGGGTCAACGGGACCACTGATTTTCTTTCTTTTGTATTTGTGCAGCAAACTCGAGACGCTTCCATAACGTTCATCTTCGCCCTCTTTTTCTTGCCTTGCACTACATCTAATCAGACAGCGAGATCCACATTATGTATGAACACCACCTTTGCCAACACAAGCTTGCTCCATCCACCGAAGAATAGAATTGAATTCTTTGTGTGACACTGCATCTGATAACTCGAAATATTCTCTTAGTCGGGCGTTTGCGATTCCAAACCATTAAGTGAGAGACCTATTGAGGGGGTAGTACTTACGCTTTTATTGGAAGGGCTATATCTTGAGTTTTGAGAGCACTCGTCGAATATGATTAAGATGGAAAGGTTTGATTTTTAATTCTGTAATATCTAGAATGCGATTTCCATATTTTTTAAATTAGCTTAACGGGTATTCTAAAGACAAGTCCATCAAAAAATTTTCCCTTCGCACTGGCCTCGGTGAGTAATGCTGAGGAGCAACTGAAACAGTGGTCCATGAAAACGTGATAAGCATAAAGAATCTTTTTTTGATCTTAGTAAGCGATAGAGGTGAGCATGGGAACCAGACCGAACCAGCCAGGTTCTTAAAATTTGAAACCGGTGATAATTGGTTTGATTCTCGATTCCAAGTGTGGGCCGGACCCCCCGAATCAAACCACTAGGACCACCCGATTTTTTCTTCTTCTTTTTTATTACCAAAAGGCTGGAGAAGAGAACAAAAACAAAGTTCATAGACACACTCGCATTATGCAAGAAAGTTCCTTCAAAAAAGAAAGAAAGAAATCATACCAGTTCCTGGACCCACTTGGGAATTGGACATGACCAGTTTCAGGACTAAGTGAGCCGGTTTCCCGTTCAACAAACTGGGAACTGACCCTTCTGGTCCGGTTCCTGGTTATAAGATGGTAATTGGTGTTGGGGGATGGTTCATACTCCTTATTGATAGGAAAACATGGAGGCCCGTATTTTATCGATAGTTTGAGTTTGAGCTCATGAATAGTTACTGTCTATATATAAATTGAGAGTTATAATAGAGAGGCAAGATGTGCTAATTATGGTGGAATTCTCGGATGTAATCCTAATTTAAGGGTGAACTAGAATAAAATCTTGTGTCTTGATTTCTCTTTCTCGCATTTACTCTCTCTTTCATTGTATTTGTAAACCTAATCTTAACAATCAACCCACCCTGGATTGATCACCCCTAGTAAGCAATGCGTACTCCAAGTCACTACCTCATATTCTTTTTCGAAATCTGGATTAACGTTGTTTAATTGAAACAGAAGGGTAGATCCAGAAAGTGAGTAGCTAATAAGTTCCTAAGGATAAATAATTGCCGTGTAGCCCGACCTTTTATAAAAACGAAGTGTACGCAACCGCTAGAAAGAACTGAGCTAGTTGGAGAGAGCCGGAGACAGAGACAGACGCAGTGAGAAATGGGGCGAGTGGCGACGTTGGCGGGAGTGGCGGTGGTGCTGTCGCTGGCGGCGGTGATGTTGCCGGGGGTGGCCGCGGTGAGGTACCTGGTAGGGAAGGACATGGGCGAGTCAGGCAACGCATGGACCACCAACGTCAACTACACTGTTTGGGCTCAAAACAAACACTTCTACAATGGCGACTGGCTCTGTATGCTCTCTCTCTCTCTCTCTCTAAACGTTCCGGGTCTATCCAAATGAGTCAGATCTGAAGATTGGTCTGCTCTGTGCATGAAAATGAGCTCACTGCAGTGTGATTCTGCTGACCATGAGCCCAGTGTTGCCTGCTGCTCTGTCTTTTTGGCTTCTTCTTAAACCAATGCTGATTTTTTTTTTAACTCTCTGAAAAGTGATAAGTCGCTTTTGAGTTTGTTGCTGCACAAGTCCCTCATTTTTTTTTGTTGGGAGTACGCAAAACCTAAGTCCGAGCTTGTCAACATATTCAGTTGGACCCACATTTTCAAGTTATGAATCAATTATGATATATTAACTGCTCAACATCACGTCAATTCTCCAATGTGAGATTTTTTTAGCACAACTCACACGTGTATATTAACATTGTTAAGATGAGTTGAATAGTAAACTTGCTACATATGGCGAATCTTGAGGTGCTCAGAGAGTTGAAATCTTCAACGTTGGTTGGGATAGTCATATGCTAAGCTCCTTCAGATCCGAATCTCTCGGTCAATCTCAGTTCTTTCACCTATTGGAGCTTCTTCTTCTGTAGCAATTACTTCCTCAGAGTCGGTTCTGCTTCTAACTTTTTTTTGGCGTCGGTGATCCTCGCCGATTTGAGGTATAACCGGTCGTTTTCACTTGGTTCGGATTGGTGGGATCACTTCTTTTCGGTTGAATAAGTAACGTAACCGTTACTAGAAAAATTAAACATGTGCTAAATCTTAGTAACGAAGTCTGTTATCATCTTTAGGAGCTGCTTTGCATGTGGTCGGGGAGATATGCAGGTCCTAGAGGGCAATAACCTTCTCTGGTTTACTATTTTCATAATTTGCTTAAAGGAGTTCGCTCTTTTTAACTTTCTGCTAAGATCTGATGCCTCCAAATCAGGCGCGACCATTTGCACGTCGCAATTCGATGATGAACGAGCTACTAGCTCGGCCATTAAATTGCATGCGATTCATGTTCGACGCTTGGACGCCGACATTCTATTGCTGTCTGCTGACTCTTTTGCGTTCTTCCAGTCTTCGTGTACGATAGGAACCAATTGAACGTGCTCGAGGTGAACGAGACGGGCTACGAGTCTTGCGACTCCAATCATCCATTGGTGAACTGGACCACAGGAAAAGGGAGGGACGTCGTCCCACTGAACGTCACGAGGCCTTACTATTTCATCAGCGGCAACGGATATTGCTACGGAGGAGCGAAGCTCGCCATCAACGTAGAAAACCCGCCACCCCCACCCGTGGCCGCCCCGGTGAAGAGCGGATCCCCGGCTTCCTTTTACCGGGGACGGATCATCCTCCCGGCGGTCTTCGCCGTCGGCGCCATGTGGGACACGTTCCTCCGGTTCTGCTAGCCCCAAAAACCGCTCAGAGAATCGGCTTTCCACGAGATTAACCCGGCAAGTCCTTTCGTCAGCTACAAAATTCCTGTGAAGTCAAAAGAATTCAAGTTGTTTTCTTCCACCTGTTGTTCTTTAGTTAGAAAGGAAAGCTGCCTGTTTGAGGGTCTTTCTTCATGTTAGTTGTTGACCTGAGTTTGGTTTGGTTTGATTTGAGGGAGCTAGCGTGAGTTGGGCCGGAACCTTGTGACCGCGGTGTTGAGTCTCAAAGACCTGAAGTTCGATCCGTGAAGAGGACGTGGGTCGCCGGGACCACTGATTTTCTTTTTGTATTTGTGCAGCTAAGACCTCATTTAGCAGACTCGAGACGCTTCCGCAACGTTCATCTTTGCCCTGTTTTTTCTTGTCTTGCACGAATTGATTGTCCAATGTCTTGGCACTACATCTCTAATTAGGCAGCCAGATCCACATTACGTGTGAACACCGCCTTTCCCAACACGAGCTTGCTCCATCCACAGATGAATCAAATTGAACTCTTCCGTAACACCGCGTATGGTAACTCGAACTGTTCTCTCACTCGGGTGCTTGCAATTCCAAACCGATGGAGGGCGGTATTTATGCTTTTATTGGAAGGATGATATCTTGAGTTTCGAGGGCACTTGTCGAATATGATTAAGATAGAAATGATAGGTTTTTAATTTTGTAATATCTAGAGTTGTTGAAACAGTGGCCTGTGACAACGTGGTAAGTATAAAGAATCTTATTTTGACCTTAGTGAGCAACGCCTAGTCCAAGTCACCGTCTCACAAAATTTTGTCGAAATCTCGGATTAACGTTGTTTAATTCAAACAGAACTGTGGATCCAGAAGGGTGAGTAGCTAGTAAGTTCCGAAGGGTAAATAATAATTGCAATGTAAGCCGACCCTTTATAAAAAGAAGTGTGCGCAGGCCACTAGAAAGAGCTGAGCTAGTTACAGAGAGCCGGAGACAGAGGCGGACGCAGAGAGAGAGAGATGGAGCGAGTGGCGACGTTGGTGGGAGTGGCGGTGGCGCTGTTACTGGCGGCGGTGATGCTGCCCGAGGTGGCGGCGGTGAGGTACATGGTAGGGGCGGGCATGGGCAACGGGTGGGCCACCAACGTCAACTACACCGTTTGGGCTCAAGACAAACACTTCTACAATGGCGACTGGCTCTGTATGCGCTCTCTCTCTAGCCCTTCAGATCTGTGACTCGTTAAGCTCGCGTAAAACGTTCCGGGTCTATCCAAATGAGTCAGATCTGAAGATGGGTCTGCGCTGTGCATGAAAATGAGCTCAATGCAGTGTGATTCTACTGAGTAATGAGCTCAGTGTCGCCTGCTGCTCTTTCCTTTTGGCTTCTCTCTTTAATCAAATGCTGATTCAAGAGTGTGAATTTTGCTTTAGAGTCGCTACTTCTCTGAAAAGTGACAAGCCGCTTTTGAGATTGTTGCTATATTAGTCCTCTGATTCTTTGAGGGGACACAATGTCGGGTTCAGTGGCTTATTGGGTACCTTTAAGATGAGTTAAAGAATGAACTTGCTAGATATAGTAAATCTTGAGCTACTTAGAGAGTTGAAATCCTCAACGTTGGCGGAGATGGGCATATGCTAAGCTCATTCAGATCCGCATCTCTCGGTCAATCTCAGTTCGTTTCCCCCTAAGGAAGCTTCTTCTTCTGTAGCTGTTTTGGAGAGCTCCAGCTTCCTTGGGTTGAAAATTTCTCATCTTTTCTGTTTACTTCTTAATCCTTCCTCCTGCAATTAGTTCCTCGGAGTCAGTTCTGCTTCTAATTTTTTTATAGCATCGGCGATCCTTGTCGATTTGAGGTATGATTGATCGTTTTCACTTGGTTCGGATTGGTGAAATCACTTCTTTCGATTGAATAATGCATGGAAGACGGAAGTGTAAAAATCTCGTATTCTTAAACGCTTTGTGCTCTCAGACGCTTGCTACTGGAAGCAGAGAAGTCATGGGACTAATGCTGTCCGACTGAGGATTTAGATCGGTCTTGTTGATGAGGCTTAGTATCTGGGACCTGGATCTAAATCTTGACAGCATTTGATGAGAGAAAAAATGGTGTCAAGCCGCACCTGAGATACATGGCTATTTTGGTTTGATGAAGTGATAACACTACCATCTTTGCGTAACGAAGTCAGTTGTTATCTTTATGTGCTCTTTAACATGTGGTCGATGAGAAATGCAGATCCTAGAGGGCAATAACCTTCTCTGGCTTACCATTTTCGTAATTTGCTTAAAAATGTTAGCTCTTTTTATCTTTCTGCTAAGATCTGATGCTTCCACATTATCATCTTAGGCGACCATTAGCAGGTCGCAATTCAATTATGAACGAGCTACTAGCTTGGCCATTAAATTGTATGAGATCTATGTTCGACGCTTGGACGCCAACATTCTATTGCTGTTTGCTGACTCTTTGCGTTCTTCCAGTCTTTGTGTACGATAGGAACCAATTGAACGTGCTCGAGGTGAACGAGACGGACTATGAGTCGTGCAACTCCGATCACCCATTGGTGAACTGGACCAGAGGAGCAGGGAGGGACGTCGTCCCACTGAACGTCACGAGGCCTTACTATTTCATCAGCGGCAAAGGATTTTGCTACGGAGGAGCGAAGCTTGCTGTCAATGTAGAAAACGCACCACCTCCTCCCGTGGCCTCCCCAGAGAAGAGCGGATCCCCAGCTTCCTTTTACGGGGGACGGATTGTCCTACCGACGGTTTTCGCAGTCGGCGCCATGTGGGACGCGTTCCTCCGGTTCTGCTAGCCTGCAAACCGCTCGAGAATCTGCTTTCCACGACATCAGCCGCAATTCCTTTAATTCCTCTGAAGTGAAAAGAAACCAGGTTGTTTTCTTCTTGTTCTTTATTTAGGAGGAGAGCTGTTTGAGGGGTCTTTCTTCATGTTAGTCGTTGACCTGAGTTTGGTTTGGTTTGGTTTGGTTTGATTGAGGGGGATAGCGTGAGTTGTGCTGGAACCTTGTGACCGTGGTGTTGGGTCTCAAAGACCTGAACACCAAACCTTCAGAAAAAGAAAAAAAGAAGAGTTATATATTGTTTCCGCTAGGACTGTGTGGTTTTTCCAAGATTGAAGTCATAATTTTATGTTGCGTGTTGGTCCCTCAAAGCTTGACCAGCATGGGGTGTGTCATAATATACTACTACTGGTTCATTCATGGCCGCTGATTCCGCAGCGATTCTCGCCATAAAAGTTTACGATGAGCTTATCACGTGAGGCTCGCCATGTGGGGGGTTGTCTTTCTCAATCTGAAGTCAGCTTTTGGGGGGCAAAATCACATGGATTCTGACCTGGGAGGCACTTTTGCTCCTTACTGATCAATTCAATGGCGGTAGTCAGAGGGAAGAGAGATCTGCTGAAAAGGAAGATTTGGCAGCAAAGAAAGTTTGAGGATGGTCTGATAAAAAAAGTGGACATGGGGGTGGGCAACCAAGTTGTAACTTTTAAGAAAGATCCAAGCTTTAGTTGACTAGGGAAAACAGTGCGAGTGGAGAGAGAAATGATGCGAGCCACGAGTAGAGGCGGCAATGAGCCGGGTCGGCGAGGCCGTCGTCGGTGTGCCGGGGTTGGGCCGCTCGAACCCGGTATTTTTTAGGAGTTGCCCTGGGCACAATCCCGGCTGCGCTATCTGTAGAAAGAGAGTGAAATGGGCAATCGAGGCTTGACCTTTGGCTCATTCCTTGCGAGTCTTGTCGTGCAAACCTGAGGCTCGGCTCACTTGCCGAGCTCACAAGTTAGCATTGTGCCGATCTGCAAGTTATATTGCTTGTGGGAAAATGTAGAAAGAAAGTATAATGGGTGATCGAGGCTCGGCCTTCGGGTCATGTCACGCGAGCATGCGAACCCGAGGTCCGACTCACTTGCCGAGCTCACAAGTTAGCGTTGTGCCGATTTGGAAGTTACATTGCTTGCGGGGCCGACTCATGCTCTTTCCCTCAATTAAACTCGTTTAGTTTACGATGATGTATAAATGAAGCTTGAAGTCAGAAAGTGAAGTACTTCATTCAACTATTCAAGCATGATAGAGCCCGAAAGATGGGCTTCGGCACATAAAAAAATCCCAGAGAGCTTGGGAGGAGGACAAAACTAATTTCAGAGGTAAAGAGTTTCTCCGATGGGTTCTAGCTACCCAATCTGTAACTAAGTTAGTCTCTGTAAAGCAATGAGCTACTCGAATATTTCAAAAAGATAATAACATATCCATGCAGTTTATGATAATAGAGATTAACTCATTGAAATATTGTCCACTTTGGCATGTTTTATACCGAGCGTCACAGTATGGTCCTTTGGCATATAGGTAAGCACATTCCAGGGAGGTCATCCATCCTAGGAGTGCTCCCACTTGAGTGTGCTTAACTTTGTAGTTTCAAAACTAAGCATTGTGGTTGTAAAGTATGAGTTTTAAAGGTCAAAAAGTCAAAGGGAAAAAGGAAAAGAAAAGAGAAGAAAAAGTTTGAAAAGTCAAAAAGAATAAAAAGAAGTATTATAAAAGGGGAAAAATGAGACCATCGGCCGAGAGAAGCGAGAGCTCACCGAGAAGAAGAAAGAGAGGAAAGAAAGAAGAAAGAAGGGAGAAAGAAAGGGTTTTTGCACATGCTCGCCACAGGAGTCTCGCCAAGCCGGAGTTCGTTCATATCGCCACGCTCGGTAAGTATTCGCGCCCATTGTTCGTTCAATCGGAATATTTTTCGGGGTTAGGGCTTATATTTTGGAGTTATGAGTTATTCGAGCGGCGAAGTCTGATTTTTGAGCTATGAATATATATATAGAATTGGTAGTTTAGGGTGCTGCAAGGCTGTGAAATCTTACGGAACTCGATTTGAACTTTCGGTTTGCCGGATATGAATTTTTGAAGTTGAGCGCGCGCAATGAACATTGCGCGGCCAGAGGTTTTTAGGCTGATTTTCGTCTGTTTTTGGCTCGATTTTGGGACGGCCAAGTTGGGGCTTTTGTAATACTCTGAACGGGCTTTCTTTTGACTATAAGTTTGCTAGGATCAGAGTTCAATGAAGAAAGTTATGACGCGATCAAGTTTCGCGTTCAAGTTTTGCGTTGCGGACGGTTTGGATAATCGTTTTGGATGAGCAATTTGTGAATGCCTTTGAGTTGTCCTGTTAGCGTTTAAGCATCGTTTGGCCGTTTTGTAGTTGTCGTAGTATTTTACTTGATTTTGACGTCGATTCTCGTTTAATTGTTAGGGTTACGAGATCGTCGGTTCGAGTGAGCGTCGTTGTGTGATTTTTGGGGATTCCAGGTGAGTGGTGCTATCCCTTCTTCGGTTTTGTAAAACCCATGCCTTGAAATATATATAGAACTTAAAATAGTATTGTTATTGCATAAAAGTTCGGATCGGGCATTTACTACCCTGTTGATTATTTGAAATGTTATGGTAAAGCATTTCTAGAAATGGCTTATATATTGATTATCGTGAAATGAATTGAGAAAATTCTTTATGAAAAGAATTCTTTTGTTGAAGGTTATACATATTGATTTATGAAGAATTATGAAATGGTTATGGAAACATATTATGAAATGTGTCGTGAAAGTTTATATATATGTATTGTCTTGTGAAGCTGGTTTATGAATGATTTGAGAAATGGTATGAGAAAATAGCGGATGGGCTATGTTGTGAAAAGTTAATTGTTTGGTTTATGAGATTGATTTGTAGATTGGATTTCTGGTATTGGAAAATGATTGTTTGATGCTCAATATCGCTGTGAGCCCATTGAGGGGCTTGAGGGTATGCATACCGGGTTTAGGATATCCTTCTGGGCCGAGCCACCGGCTTTGTAGGTGGAGACTCTTGCCAAGGGGGAATCTTGGTAGCCTTGTCACAAGGCTTTGTGTCGTGACCATGGTTAGATATTGAGCAATAGATTGGTCGATGGAATGGACCATCGATGTGTGATGTGATATGAGATTAGCCAATAGAATGGACTATCGGCATGTGCTTTTGATGAGATTCATTAATGGAATAAACCATTGATGTGTGATTTGAGATTAGTCAATGGAATGGACCATTGATGTGGTTTTTATAGAGATTGATCAATGGACTTGACCATTGATAGTTTGAATTGTAATGATGGATTTAAACGTATATTTGGGACTTGTATAAAGCTTTGATGAAAGGGAAAAAACCACCAAAAACCCCAACTTTGCCATATCATGTGACACATTTCCCGAACTTTTTTGTGACACCAAAAACCCGAACTTTGCTTTTTGTGACACATTTACCCCAATGTATTTAGTCCATGGGCATTTTCGTCTTTTTCGCTTTTTCTTTTTTTTCCTTCCGCGAGGGGCCTCGCCGCGCCGGCGTCCGGATCCGCGAGAGGCGGCCCTCGCCGGTCGGGCGAGGGTCGACCCTTGAGTCGGGCGAGGGACGCCTCGCTCGCCAGGCGAGGCGGACCTCGCCCGACGCCGCGAGGTCGCCCTCGCCCGGGCGAGCGAGTGGCGACCTCGCCGGCGTCGGCGAGGTCCGCCTCGCCGGGCGAGCGAGGGCGTCCTCGCCCGACTCGAGCGAGGTCGACCCGCCCGACGCCGGCGAGGTCGACCTCGCCCGAGTCGGGCGAGGACGCCCTCGCTCGCCCAGCGAGGGCGGACCTCGCCCGCGCCGGCGAGGGTCGCCGCCCGGGCGAGCGATGGCCGCTCGCCGGGCGAGCGAGGCCGCCTCGCCCGACTCAGCGAGGTCGACCCGCCCGACGCCGGCGAGTGGTCGACCTTGCCGTGATCGGGCGAGGGCGGCCCTCGCCGCCCAGCGAGTGGCGGCCCTCGCCTGCCCGGGCGAGGTCGACCTCGCCGGCTGCCGGGCGAGGGTCGACCTCGCCCGAGCCGGGCGAGGGACGCCCGCTCGCCGTGCGAGGCCGAACCTCGCCGACGCCGGCGAGTCCGCCCGCCCGGCGAGCGAGGCGGCCTCGCCGATCAGCGAGGTCGACCTCGCCCGACGCCGGCGAGGGTCGACCTCGCTCGAGTCCTGCGAGGGGGCCTCGCCGGATCCGGGCGAGGGCCGCCCTCACTCGACGCCGGCGAGGGGCCCCTCGCCGGATCCGGCGGAGGCCGACGCCGGCGAGGTCCCCCTCACGGAAGGAAAAAAAAAGAAAAAAAGAAAAAGCGAGAAAAGACGAAAATGCCCATGGACTAAATACATTGGGGTAAATGTGTCACAAAAAGCAAAGTTCGGGGTTTTTGGTGTCACAAAAAAAAGTTCGGGGTAAATGTGTCACAGATGGCAAAGTTTGGGGTTTTTGGTGGTTTTTTCCCTTGATGAAATAAAATAACTCGTATTTGATTGATATATATATATATATATATATATATATATATATATATATATATAAGTACGAGTTTCTGGTATGGCTTTATGTATACATGCATAGTGGTTGCTCGATCCGCTTAGAAGAGATACGCACCGCCATCGAGCCGTGGTTGCTCACCCCTCTCTTTCCTCAATCTTTTCGGGTTCCTTGGTTAGTAGCCAATAGAGCGAGAGCGATGTCGTTGGGACTTTTTGGGAGTCGGATTCCTTGTGGTTTGAGGCTGCGTCCTTCGGGTGGAAGGACGGCCGTGTCATCCCTCATCTTGGTAGGTTTTGGGGTGTGACATTTGTTGGTATCAGAGCTTAGGATATGATTTTTGGGACATAAAGTCTTTGGGACGTTGTGAGCTTGTGTGTTAGTTTATAGCGTGTTAGTCTTTTATTGAATACTATGGTATATGTTTTGGAATCTAGGTGACCGTCAATTCTAATTTAGAGAAACGTGCTTTGCCTTGTAAGAGATAACAAAGACAAGCGAGTTGTTACTTTTGATACCAGGAATGTATCTTAAGGTTTTCAATGTGCGGTTTTGGCAAGAAAATGAAGGGGGAGATATTTGGCGAGTCACAACTCAAGATGTGTACTCTTGAATAGGACCGGTTGTCATCGACCATGGATAAGCAAGAATACAAGGAGTTTTGAGTCTCGAGTGCATCAGAAAGTGTAGTGTCAATAGGTGAAGATGGAATTAGTGGTGGTTAGGAAAAAAATATAGCTAGAGCTAGGGATTGTGGTGGTCAAGGTCAGAGGGAGGAATCTCTTACTGTGAAAATTGT